TTTAAATGGTGCATTTTCCAGCATTCTTTTGTAGCTTTTTTAAAGCGGCACAGTGACGCACAAAGGGGAAAATTGACAAATGTAGAATTTTCGCATGACCTCTGTAAATTTTGTTCAATTCCCAAAAGTATTCAGTTTCAGAAAATTACAGGTTTCAGAACCTAAAAAGGAAAAATAAAAGTAAAAATAATTTCTGTCTGCCCCAGAACGAAAATATTGCAAAATACCCTGGTACTTCTTCCTCCCTATTGTACGCGTGCGCAGAAAAGTGTTGAATAAGTTTCCATAGTTACCATGGTCTCAGGTATCCACGAATGAATGTAAGAAGACCAAAAAATTTGATTTAATCTTTTAAAAAAGTTGTTAACATATTTCTCACCTTTGCATGCTCCAGTTGAATGTTGTTAACAAGTTTGAGCTAAAAATAAGAGTTGCGTGACCTTGACATATACGAAACAACGAAACGGTAGATACAACCTTTGTTTTTCCGGCACTTATATTGTGCAGTCAATTCTTGCAGTTTAATTGTCAAATCTTCGCTGTGTACTCATAATTTTCATAAGTCTTTCTCTGTATGCTACAGATATCTTAAAATTAAGATATGATTTTGACTCACTGTGCCGCTTTAAAGACCAATCATCACAAATTTTTAAGAATGCAGAAAAATAAAATGTTTCAATTTGATTCAATTTTAACACAAGACTTTAGACCTTGTTTAAAAAAATGGAGTGGGGGGGGGGGCTCCCCCAGAAAAAAATTGTTTTAAATCGTTCTAAAATGGTGCATTTTCCAGCAATTCTTGTACTTTTTGTAGCTTTTTTCAAAGACCAATTATCACAAATATTTAAGAATTTAGATAAATAAAATGTTTCAAATTACATGTAATTTTACTTTGTCGCATATCTGCGGTGATTTTCTTTGATCTTTCTGCGGTGATATATTCCATATCACATATGTGATAATACTTTCCACGCCCCGTCATATATCACTGCAGGAGGCAGAAATCAGGTCATGAGAAAAAAACCTGATCTTATTTCACAAGTTCGTAACTACAGAAAAATGAACATTTTAAGCTATTTCTTAGCCTCTAACTAAATTAAAATACATGTATTTAACTCGGTTGAAAGTTCCCAGTCGTTCAAAAGATTAATTATCCATTTTGAAATTTTGAAAGTTACGGTAATTATCCAAACTTTACATCGTTACACTCCTTGATTTCATCCCTTTGCGGAACGTGAAGACCTAACTGTCCTTTCGATGAGACAGTATAAATTTACCGAGATCCCATGGCGCAGTAGGCGCTGGCTCGAGACAAAAGCTCAAGGCCGAAAGTGTCGTCGGAGTTAGGTCTAAATTTACAGCCCACCAGTGGTAGCTGCAGATCTGTAGCTCGCTGGTCTGAAAAAAGGGACATTAGTGAAAAATTATTTTATTATTATTATTATTAAAATATATATATTATTATTATTTATTTATTATCCGCCATATTTTAATTTTGGTAAAAGACGCAACAATATATACTGCATACACGGCTTCGGCACAATTGCGTGCTAAACGCTGATTGCAGCCCGGAGGACCGGGCTGCTCTATACATATAAGTTTAAGTGTTTGTGTGTGGGGATTGGGGTGGGAGTAGTTATTCAGAATTAAAGGTTTTCTAAACATTGAAAAGATTGTTAATCAGAAAGTTCTTTCCCTTTATAAATTACGAGATACATAATATATTTACTTCAATAAAGTGAATCTTTAAAAATATATACGTTTTCATATTAAATATATAAAGTTGCTTATCATTTACTATCGAAAAAACGACAGGTCCCTTTTTTTTTAGAACATCGAATATTACATCGCATAAAAACGTACTCTGCACAGAAAATGTTATATATTATAAAATTGAAAATTAAATACATTTTTGAATATAGGTGATGCATGTGTCTAACTTCAATTTATATTTTATGCAGCCAACATTTACTCGAGGAATTGAAGATTAAAATGGTATCGTTTTTGTTTGATATTTGTCCGACTATAAGTTTTCAAAATATTCGCGAATGCCGTCTCCATCAATTAGACGCATACCTTTTCACTCATATCGAAGGGGTTTGATGATTAAGTCTCATTTCCATTGTTTACTTTATATATTTCCCGGGCTACAATTGATGGTTACATCAATGTTTTCTTGTCTTTATAGATGTAATATAATATCTAGTCCACTAATGTTCCTGCGGAAGGTAGAAAATACACATCATTATTTTTTTCTCGTGCCCTAACTACAACGAGGCCAGGAAAGAGTTTTTCGATAAGTTCTTGAGATTTAATAAAGTCCATATTGTTGACATTCAGACTTTACTCTGGGGGGATACATCACTCAGTATTGCTGAAAATGAATATCTATTTTCTATTGTACATTTATGGAACGCCAAATTAACATATATTCAAATATTTGTACCTATCTTAAAATAATTGCACCTATCTTCAAATAATTGTACCTATCTTCAAATGAATTGCATTAAAGATAGGTACAATTGAATTAAAGATAGGTACAAATGAATTGAAGATAGGTATAAATAATTATACCTATCTCTAAATAATTATACCTAGGTACAAATGAATTATACCTATCTTTAATGGAATTACACCTATCTTCAATTCAATTAAAGATAGGTTCAATTGAATTATACCTATCTCTAACTCATTTGAAGATAGGTATAATTGATTTAAAAATAGGTACAATTGATTTGAAGATAGGTTCAATTAAGACATATCCACAAAGGATTTGAAGATAGGTACAATTCAATTATACCTAGGTTCAATTCGTTTTATGTTGTTGGTAAAGAATGAACGCTCCCTTGGAGACAATATTGAGTATGGAGGGAAACGCACAGAACCTACAGAGCGACGACAACAAGGATGAAAGGAGAAATAAAGGTTAATTCAAAATGTGCAAAAAGCATAATATACTTATAAAAACACACATGTATATCAAGTAGGTTTATCTTGTATTGCAGCCAGATGAAGATTCCGATAAACTTTCGCGCCAGCTGTGACGTATCGGAAATGACATATGATAAAGGGAGTAGTTGTTATTGCCAATATCTTAGTAATGAAAGATAGGTTCAATTCAATTGTACCTATCTTAAAATCAATTATACCTATCTTCAATTCATTGCATTTGTACCCATCATCAAATCAATTGTACCTATCTTCAAATGAATTAAAGATAGGTATAATTGAATTCTAATTCACTTGAAGATAGGTACAATTGATTCAGATAGGTACAATTCAATTGAAGATAGGTGCAAATATTTGAATATATGTTAATTTGGCGTTGCATATACATTCTTATATTCAGCATTCTGGTAGATTTAACTGATTGTACTCATTTTTAAAATTATTTGTATAAACAATAATGTAGCAGTCTATATATGTCCACAATGAGAGTTTATTTAATTTACTTGTAATCTATTTTGTACAAACTGTTGAACACTTCTAATTCATCCTGTTATAATATTTCATGTAGGGAGAGGGCGATTTAAGTTTTTAGAACTTGTGCCCAATCCCATTGTATATATTTAGTGCAATAAAATATGTTCAAACCAGTGAAAAATTCTCGAAGAGAAGTTGAACAGCAAGCAAACAGCAACTCTTTGCAAATACTGTAGAAGTACTGTCGGTTTCAGACTATTTTTTCACTAATACTTTAAAGCTGCAGATGACATTCTTTTAATCCGTTAGCTTGTATCAATTTGAGTGTCTTAATAACTTTGTTCGATGAATAAATTTGCTTACTATATTGATTTTCTGTCATGCAGTAAAAAAATGAAGAGATTTGGCAACGTGTTCCTGTATTTCCGAACTAATAATAAAAATGTAGGCTGATAGATTTGAATATGCTTGGGTGTTCTTGAATGCAGACAGGCATTTTACAGCAACATATCTGCAGACAAATTTTTACAGAAGGAAGATCAGACACATGCCTGTTTGTCTCTATCAAACACGTGCAAATGATTCTCAAATTAATCACAATTTTTTAATCTTAAAAATCAACGTTAAACACTATCGAAATTTTGTTTTACAAAATGATCATGTTAGGGCACTAGTTTGCATGCATGCATGCCTATTTTTCTTAAAAAATAACCTAGAAGACTATTACTGCCGTGAAAAAAAACTCAAACTGAAAATCTTTCAATTATTGATTGTAATTCAATAGTAATTTTAATTTATTATAAAGTAAATGTTCGTGCAGAAATGTGTGTGTCGTTCGAATAGTGTAACATTTTAAGAATATCATTGAGGAAGTTAGCAAGATTCCAGTTCCCTACGGCCACCTGGTCTATGGGAACTGGAATCTTGCTGACTCCTTTAATGATATACATGATTACATTTTGACCTGCAAAATTAATCCAGGTAAAGGCGGGGGGGGGGGGGGGGGGAGGTCCGGACCTCTGACACCCCCCCCCCCTTTCTAGATCCTCGGTTAGGGATTACCTCGCTTGACTATTTAGAGGATTACGGATAACCGAGAGTTACATGTAGCTACCGAAGCGGGGAAGGTTACCTGACTAACGCAATGACATTAAATTAACTTCATTCACTGCGATTTCTATCGAATTAATCACATTAAACGATCGATCTAGTTTTAGATAGGGAAAAAACAGGGATAAATATTTATAAGCCTCCTCTGCCCTTTCAGGCGTCTTCCTCTCGATCCTCAATTGAATTGGTTACTTACTTTCATATAGCCCCCGTTTTTTATATTGGATTTTTATTTGAAAGCTTCTATATAAGTTTGAGACTTTACTTAGGTCAAGGACAAACCGTGAAAGTCAAAAAATAAACAGGAACCAATGTCAAGAATAAATATTTCATTATAAACATTTTGTGGAGAAATAGAACCAATACATGTAACGCGTAAAAGAGCGGGCCTCGAGATTTTACTTGAATGTTCCCAGTCAATTCAATATGCTTGTATTTACTTTTTTTAATTTCATCTTCTGCGCCGCTGCGTGTATGTCTTGTGCGCAGTGATCTACTTGAATCACCCCCGGTATATATATCCCTGCCGACACACATCCCACAGAATTCCAGCTTTTAGATTGTATAACGTTCACTTCAGCTCTAAAGATCAACAAAAATGGTAAGAAACTTCATTGTTAATCTACTAATCCTTACATTTTAAAATGGGAACCTTTGATACAGGAGAGTGTTTCAAAATTGACAAAATCACTTTTTAAAATTATATTTTTAGCGTAAAAAGAAGCATAGTTTTCTTTCCCCTTTAAAGAAAAAAAAATTGTAAAGGACATTGCAGCCGTTCGGCTTTTTTGCAGAAAAAAGAATGCTTGCAGTTGGAATATTCTGGTAGAAAACAATTTTAAAAGTATGCATTCCTCGTCAGCAAAAATTCGTCGAATTCTAGAATGAATGAGTCTTATGCATTGTTGCAATGATTTCGCTCACTCGGTAGCATTGTTACTTTTCAGTCTAAACTTTCCAAAGAAGAAATTGAAGGTATGGAAAAGTTGTGTGTTATTTTATCCCCCTAATGTTTCTTTTAATTAACAGCATGAGTCAATTAATTTTATAGAAACATGAAAAACTCCCTCCTGTGTTGTACCGTGTGAGTTTAAGCTGATAAGTTCCTCTTCCTAATGGATGCGTACGAACGATTAACTCTGATATCAAAATGATTCTCACAGATAGTTTGCAGGAATTAGAAAAGGGGGGTGGGTAAGATGATAGTCAAAGAACTTGTGGCTTTTCTATATATTTGAGACATAAAATTAATTAAATAGAATCGAAACAAAAAACTTTAAATCTTTCATGCATTATTCGTTTGAATAGAACACGATGCAAAGAAATGCTGTTGGTTAAAAGAAAGACGAACTTTATATATATTTGATAAAAGTCATAAAACACTAAAATTAAAAAGGAAATGAATTTGATAAATCGAAAAAAAAAATAATGTAGTAAAACTTCTCCACTTAGTTAAAATTCGTTTTAATAGCGGAAAATTTATTACTTTTTGTTTTAAAAGAAATAGACATACGACTACGTTAAATAGTTTTACAACTTGAAACATATTTTCTTTTTCCCTAAATCAAATTTGTAACAGAGACACGGATTACATGATGGATAGCACTGTTTTCTTACATTCCTTGGCACGTATTCAAATTCAGCAGTTTCTTCTTATCTTTTGTATTAAATTTTTCTCTATGGATTCTGACTAAAATTGCACAACGAGAATGTATCGCCACACCGCGCTCGCAGGCACGCGCAGGCACGCGCCTTGTGTGTTTTAGTATCGTGACAAGATCTTTGTCAATCAGAGAGATTTCCTTAACTCAGTGTGACGTTATCGGGGAGGAATCTTACATAATCCCAGGGAAGATGGTTCTTTACGGGACTTTGTCTACAGTAGGACATTACTTATCTTATTCAAAGGAAATATAAACCAGTATATTATGTATACGTATACGTGACTGTATATTCTTTCGAACGCATATTTCTCCCCAAAATGAACTATTTTAACTCTTTTTAAGTTTTTTTTTAATTTCTAGGAAGTGCTAAACATTTCAATTTAGTTATCTATGTACATTAAGTTAATGCACATAAGCACTTTTTGTTGCCATGGATGCCAATACTGAACGAAAAAGATTAAGGCAGACAGACACCAGCTGCTCATTTTTAAAAGCAAACTGACGTCATTAAATGTATTTTTCTCAAAACTGTAAATACCCCCCCCCCCCAATACAATCAAAATCTTTCATAATTGATAAAATTATTATAAATTGCTCATTATCTTACGACTTGCAGCATTTCATGAAGTGCATTTTGTTTTTCTGATTTTTAAAATCTAAATGTAATATTATCATTATGTACAGCGTAAATAGGAAGTCATACATGTACCTGAATACTTACGTGAACCCTTTTCGTGCTTGAATATTTAGGGAGGGAGAAAATGAACATTTAAATGCAGTTGAACACATGTTTAACTATTAGATATATAATGCATGATGCAAATCCTGACCCTTTCAAATTCATAGAAGCTATTTATATAATCCTTAATAGATCGAATTCCATAGCCTATCTTTTGTTTAGTAAACGTTGTAGTATGTTTTTTTTTCTTTTTACTCTGCCTTGTTAATGATACATAGAAAATTGAATAGTAAGATATTTCATACAGTATGTAAAACATGCTCACCGAGAACAACAACAGCAGCACCATCCGTGTAATTCAATTGAATGTTTTGTTTAATGCTGTGTTTGTTCTGCATTTTTTGAATGCTCGTGTGTTTATCTTAAATTTTTAGTAACAAATAGGTATATAGCCCAAGATGAAAATCCTATCTTGTATTTTTATGTGGTTGGGGGGGGGGGGGTGTTCGATCAAGAAGATAAAAATTGCCTGTTGACATGACAGGTATATATCTAGTGTGATTATGATTGAAGATCTACAGACAGTTTTGGTCATAAGGTACATGTAATTTCGTGAAACGGGCACCTGCAAATAGTCACCCAAAAGTTCCTTATCAGGAAACTGAACCTGTCAACGCAAACTGAACCTGCTCGGTATTCCCCCAAAGTTCATATTAATTTTGTTTAATTCCTGCATTACAGAGGCCAAGGAAGTCTTTGATCTTTTTGACTTCTGGGACGGTCGTGACGGAGTGGTGGACGCCGCCGCCATTGGTGACGTCATCAGATGTGTGGGGCTGAACCCGACCCTCGAAATCGTCAAAAAGAATGGCGGCACATCCAAAATGGGTAAGCTAATAGTAATCAAATACATCTGTATTGGACTCGTATGAAACACATAGCAATAATTTTTAACGCAGATTGGTAAAATGCTTCATAAAATAATTTGCACTGCACAAATCAAATGTTTTAAGTCGTTTATGCTTTGAAAAAATTCAATGAGCGATGAAGAATTCTTAGTGATAATTATTTGTCTATTATTTTTGGGAAACTTACTGTGTTTTATTGATTTCAGGTGAGAAATCTTACAAATTCGAGGAATTCCTGCCAATCTTTGAGACCGTCATGAACACCTTAGAACAGGGCACCTTCGCTGACTACATGGAGGCCTTCAAGACTTTCGACAGGGAGGGACAGGGTTACATCACGGGGGCTGAGCTCCGACACCTCCTCTCCTCACTTGGTAAGCCACTCCCCTCCCAAGAAATATGATTAAGGACTTTCTATTCACGGCGCGCTGAAGAGTTCTAATTCCGGGGTCTTTTATGGAATAAGTGATCTGCCCTCAAATATACCTGTGTCAGTAAAATATATTATACAATGTAATATTGCCATATAATGCATATATAATTTTTACTTTTATTATTTATTTACAGTCTAACTGTTAAACTTTTGTTATATCCTCTGTGTGTACATTTTTTAGTGAAATAACATTTTGTCTTAATCAGGTGAGCGTTTGACAGATGACCAGGTAGACACAATCATCAGAAACACAGATTTACAGGAAGACCTGGAGGGAAACATCAAAACATCGGTAAAAAAATATGTAAAAAACATCAAATACGAAGGTACGTGAAAAACATCAAATACGAAGGTACGTAAAAAACATCAAATACAAAGGTACGTACGGTAAAAAACATCAAATACGAAGGTACGTAAAAAAAACATCAAATACAAAGGTACGTACGGTAAAAAACATCAAATACGAAGGTACGTACGGTAAAAAACATCAAATACGAAGGTACGTACGGTAAAAAACATCAAATACAAAGGTACGTGAAAAACATCAAATACGAAGGTACGTAAAAAACATCAAATACAAAGGTACGTACGGTAAAAAACATCAAATACGAAGGTACGTACGGTAAAAACATTAAATACGAAGCTACGTATGGTAAAAACATTAAATATGAAGGTACGTAAAAAAAATCAAATACGAGGGTACGTAAAAAACATCAAATACGAATGTACGTAAAAAGTAAGGATTAGGTACGTTAAAAAAACATCAAGTGTGAAGCTACATTAAAAGTCAGGTATGGAATTAGTTATAAACATCAAGTATGAAGCTACGTTAAAAGCGTCAGATATGGGGGAAGGTAATAAGCATCAAATGTAATGGTACGTTAAAAGCGTCAGGTATGGGGTACGTTATAAACATCGATGTACGTAAGAACGTCAAGCATTAGTGAGTTAAAAACGACAAGTATGAGGTTACGTTATAAAGGTCAAATTAGAAGATACATTATACAGGAAAAGTCTACACCAACACCGGGGGTACGTTTGTACGTGAAAGATAAAGGTACGTTATAAACGTCTATCTGAGAGTACATTAAACACAGCATTTATTGGGGTACGTAATTAACAAACATCGAGTCTGTGGGTTATGTTATTCATAAACGCCAAATATTAGGAGATACAGGCGTCAAATATGGAGGTACCAAGTACATGTACGCAGAAGTCTGTTGAGGTTTATAGAATTGATTAAAACTGGTTCCGTGTTTTTTTCTTCTTTTTTAATATTTCAGTTAATTAATTTTTTATCTTAGAGATTTCATTTTATTTATTTATTTTCAGAATTCATCAAGAAAGTGATGGCTGGACCCTACCCTGACTAAACAGAAGGAAATTTTTAACATTATACACATCCAAAAACATTTTCAATTTTATACAGCAATGGACGTTAACTTTTTTATTGGATTAAAAGGAAATTCAAAGGCTGGATTTGTTTGAAACTGTGAAATTTCGAACATGCGCACTGGAGTTTAAAAACCGGAAGTGAAATAAAAACATTTGGATTTTTTCTTCATTTGGCGTGTTTATTTTTGTAACTTAAATTTTGCTTCTAAACGGATACCAGTTCATTAATCATTGCGTCACGTGACTGATATGTACAGTTTGTTCTAGAGGTGATATTGTCAGGAAAATGAGGACTTCTTTGCAACTTGTGCTGAGTGAATAACGCACTATCTTTTTATAAACTTAACTCTCCTTAAAAATGTCTTTTTCCAAACATGGTGTTTTAAAAGAAAATTTCATTCCAAGAGGAACATATACTTCTGAAAAGCAAGTTTTGACAATGAAGTGACATATTTTTTTGTATTTATTTGTAAATTATGGTTAATATGAATTAATAATAAAATGCTGTATTTTTTCTCAGAATTTTTGTCTTATTTCGGAAAATAGACTTCAGGTGCCATATATTGCTGAGGTCTTCAACATGGACAATTTACATGTAAAAGTATGAAATTACTATAAATTGAGCGGGACTGCAAAGCTGGAGTTTTAGACGAAGTATTCAGTATGATGTTGCTTTGTCCCTATATATTCTTCCAGATCTTGATTTTTGAAATCTTGGATTCACAAATGTGGCAAACTGTGAGCCACACTAAACTTTTCATATTAAGGCTTCGGAGACCACAATAAAAAAAATCTTCAAAAAAATTTTTAGACAGGTCGACAAAAGCAGTACGAATGTATTAATATGAATGTACATATAAGCATGAAAGATGGAAAAGTTTATTTGCCAATAAAAATTTTAATGACTGAAAAAATCAAAATTTACATAGAAGCACTATGAAAACCATGAAAATGTAGTGCCAACCAACTTTGCTCGAAGTGGACATATGATATACAGAAGTTCACTTAATCTAAGCATAATTACTGGTCAAGCCGCAAGCTGAAGGCCTTACCAGTTGGACAGAATAGATAAGCATTTTTATCACAATGACTATAGATATATAATGTGCATAATATGTCGCAAACCGATAGGTCACTCTTGCGCCACGGATGAATTTATAAGTTGATGAACAGATGTGAGTGGGCGGGGGTTACGTACAAAGTTACAGGTCGTATTTATAGTAACAATCGCTACAAATCAAGTATGGCTGATTCTTCAAAGCATCGTCTCTCGGTACTGTACTCTAATGTACACAGTTTGCGGAAAAAAATCTTTTACATTCTTATTTGAATATGATTTTCGTCTCTGGTATAAATATACTAGTGTTTTGAACATAAGGAGTTTGACGACAAAATGTCAGTGTTATGTAGGAATCAATATTAAATTGAGTATTCGTCTTAATTCACCATATCCTCTATGATCAGATATGAAATATATGTGTATTTGCTAATGTAAGGGCACTGAAACACCATCATTCAGATCAAGGTTATAGGAGAGAGATTCTATGATTTCAATTTATTCACAGGTAAATATAATGTCAATCCAAGTTGTTTTTACTATTTTGCACCCATCTTCAAAATCTGCATCTACCTACCGATTCGCAAAAAAAAAGAAAGAAAGAAAGAATTAAAAATAAACAAATAAAACACAAATGCCAAAAAATTAGACACAAACTTCAAAGTTATCTCATTCAAAAGATTCGCTTCCATTAATATACTTGTCTCGTAGAAAGATATAATCTTTAGCTAAATGAAGGAATTAAAATGCTTCAAATATACACTGTACCTAATATGACATATTGTAGACAGGAAATGGAGATATTGACAGAAATAAAAGACTTTGACCAGATAATTAATTTAAAATTCAAAACTTTTTTTCTGAAACCCAGTCGAAAGAGAGCGCTCAACTACTAAACTTAGATGAAAATGGACTGGCTTAATGGAGAAAGAATCGACCAAATTTTCAAAGAATTGGGACACTTTTGCGAAGAATATTTTTCCTAGATGTAAACAAGAATCGGTGCCAACAAATGAAAATAAGCTTTTGTTATTGTCTGTGGATAAATTGGCAAAAAATTCATTTATTGAATTCAATTACGTAATATTATTTGTTTTCTTTTCATTGTGGTGCATATCATCACCCAAATGAACGTGATAAATAGCTCTCTACACGTACTAGCAGACGCGCGCGTGCGGTGTATCAGGTATCAATGAATTCTCCGTCATGCGCCGCACGATCTGGTATCAATTATTTTGCCTGTCGATCTGCTGCAGGAAGAGTTCATTTTAAAGTGGCTTTTCGGAATGTCTCGACATCGATGCAGAGTTGCCATATGTAGCGCCCCCGACGGGAGGTCATCACACGCCATCACCAGGTGGTATGCCATCGACGGTAAATCCCGAGACCATCACCAGGTGGCATTCTGTCAAGGGTGAAGCCCGAGACGTCGCAATCAAGAATTATCTTTGTGTCACAATAACAAAAATATACGCACTTTTCAATAAAGATAAAATCGGTTTATAGGTTACCTATTATTAAAACAAAAGACGCAGAATTATTTCCAGCATGTTCCAAGTCGTGTAAACACGGCGCCGTGAGATATTTTTAACTGCAGTTTGGTTCATTCTGTTCTGCAGTATGCGCAGTGCAGCACTGTGTACATCTAACATTTCAGCCCCGCCATATTTGTCATATGCGCCATCTTTTTTTTATCATGACCTCAGAATTTCTAAATAAGAATTTATAACTAATCTAGATTTATGTCATTTATGTATAAAACAATATGCAATAAAATCCGGCTCAATTAAGGAGCCATTTTATTTTTAGAAGTACGTGCATTAAACCCCGGGGTCAGGAAATGTGTGTAATAACATAATTCTACGATTATTCCGGTATTGCATTCTCGACCCCGCCCACTCTCCCTGGGAGAGAAGTCAGGATATCTTTCTACAGTAAATGTCTAGTGGACTACCCTGGGCCGCCGTGTAACTATAAGCATGGACACACTGTGTCTTCATATTACATTTCATAAAATAAAATCTACAATCAACAATACAACGCATTTCCTAATTAAAAATTCTAGATCTGAGACGTAGATAAAGAAGATAACTATGCTAATTAATAACGATGCACCAAAACATATGTAAGGGTACACTCAACCCCTTTCTGGGAAATGGGATCGCCCGATGTAGGTAAAGCCATAAGTGCTGGGAATGATCTACGGTTACTAGGCATTCCGATCTTGATCTAGAAGCTTTCACATCGGGCAACGGTGCGATAGATAAGCAAGATGGTAAGTAAAAAACGACTTTTATTCTTCATGTACTCACTTACTTGTCTGTTACGATATACTTACATCTCGGCATCAGCTTATGTATGATTGATGCTTCTGATAAAGTTTTTTTTTATGTTTTACTGTGTACCTCTTTATATCAAGGTCATGAAGCTTGTATAAGATGCGCACTAATTGTGTAAAAAGAATAAATGCATAAAATAAGGGAAATAAGGGGAGAGGGCCTTAATTTGTTTTATATAAAAGGATCCACTGAGAGAAATTACTGAAATCATACCCAAACTGTTTTTTTTTTCCAAATTAGATATCTCAGTAAATATATTTCATTCAATATAACCCTTTCGAAATCATCGCATGTTATCAGGTTTATGTTTCAGGGCAACGTTTTAAGGCATAATATTAGGGAAAAAATTATTAAACAGCTAAACGCAATGTTTGTACGAGGAATGGATTACACGTTTTATATATTTTACAATACTAAACCTATGCATGTGAAAAATGTATTTACACGTGAGCATTGTTATATTTCAGTCCAAACTTTCCAAAGAAGAAATTGAAGGTATGGAGAGTTAATCCGTGTGATAAATTAATCTTCTACCTGTTAACAGCATGGATTCTATTTCTTTTAAGGAACTTAGAAAATCTGAGACAGTTGTGTGCAATGTGAAAATTTTAGAGAAGGATTTACTCGTAGATAAATCGAACTAGATTCCGCATGCGCAATACTCTATTGAAAATAAAGTCTTTCCTGCAGTAAATGTAACAGTATGAAAGTATCTTATTATGATGGGTGATATATTCTGGCATGTTTAAGACAATCTCAGCGGGGGGATATTTCTTCGCCGAGGGTTACCTCACTGTAATTAATGAAAAACATACACAGTTGAGGAAAAAAGCGAGACATATGGAAATAATTTGGCGTTAGGAATCGTATGGCCAATTAGAGATTGATAATGATTTGCAAAAATGAATTACTCAAACTAGCTGGAAAAAAGACTAAAAGCCACTTTGGGTGAGGCTAGGGTATAAAAAAAATAAATTTTCAGTCATAAAAATTGATTTGTTCAAATCTAACGAGACTATCAATATCTCGAAACTGATATTCTCGATATCTAAGTGTCCATTTATTTATCAAGCTATATAGTTTGCATTCTCGTAATTTTGGGGGAAAAAGCAATACAGAAGCTCGAATGAAAAGAAACCTGTTGAGATTGGCAGATGTTCAATTTTTTTTTACCGTTTCCGCCGGCCTTACAAGGACTGCGCACCCACACACCACATGCGCGCACGCGCATGGTGCATTACTTGTATCTTCTCTAAATCTTTGTGTACAGATGGTGTGAATCAGTATCTATACAGCCAACATGTGTTATCGTTTTCTAGTAGACAAAGGCATAGAATTGCAGAGGTGTACGAAGGGGGAAAGAATGCCAAGGGCACTTGTTTCTGCAAGGAATTTTCTACCCAAATTAATGAAAAATAAATAGCAAGTGCCTGTGGAAAAATCAGACCAATAAGACACATACCGGTAGTTAGTTCTCTAGTTTTGGAAGGGGATAAAATAGGAATCAAATTTAATATAAGCGACTTTTTAGGCTACTTATAAAATTTCATAGCTTTATAATTCAGTAGATTTTTTTTTTAAAAATGCACTTTCAGCTGCACAGTATGCTCAATTAACCTATAACAAATGAACCAGTTCCTACATGCTGTTGGATATTACTTGTTCTATCTATGTCATTTTTGTCTTGAGAATTTACTAGTATAAAGAATTTGCCTCAATAAAATTACCCTTGTACCCTGATATCTTTTTCAAAATAAAAGTAATCTTTTGCTGTGGTAAAGAATACTAGTACATGATACGTATAACAGCGACAACCAGTAATTGCCTAAGAATTTGGTACTGTATCAATCGTATGAACAGGATGTTGAACGTTTTCTTAAGGTTCACAAACCCTCTGACAAGGGAGATAACTCTAACTGGAATAATTTTCATGTTCAAGGATAAAAGGCCATTTCTGTCATTTTTTGCCCCGCAAGTTGTGCTGAAATTGTAAGCGTTGTATTCTTATAATAATTAGATTTTTTATGATTAATACTCAGTATATATGGGTAAACTGGGGGATGAGGGACCTTAACGTTTACTAGATAAGGACGATGGACCTTAAAATGAATAATTCGGTAGACAAGGATCATTCTAACCTTATTGTTACTAAAAAAAAATCCTAATTTTGTTGTGGCTATTGCTGTAAGTAAATTTATCTTTAACGTACTGTTCTGTAAATTTCAGAGGCCAAGGAAGTCTTTGAGCTTTTTGACTTCTGGGACGGTCGTGACGGGGAGGTAGATGCCGCCAAAATCGGTGACGTCTGCCGCTGTGTGGGTCTGAACCCCACCGTGGAGATCGTCGAGAAGAATGGCGGAACCAAGAAGATGGGTAAGGATCAAAGGGGGTGGAGTGAACTTAGATCGCGGAAGAATTTAGCGGAAGGGGAGTTAATAAAGGGGGTTAGTAATTAGTATATGAGAGATTTCGGTGGAGTGGAAATTAAATCTAGATCAATGATCTTCTACAAAAAAATCTCTTTCTTGAGTAGTGGACTAGTACTTCTATTTCTAGCTCGCTTGACCATAAGAGAGCTGACCCTTAGCTAAACCGTCATGAAGTTTCAAACATGCATGTGTTATAAATTGAGGTTTTCTTTAAGAGATTTTTTTAAACATCTGTAAGAAAAATCGGCATTTTCCAGAAGATTTTCGATGAAATATTTATAATAGGAATGCCTTGTGACAAAAGAGAAATAGCTTTGCAGGATTGAGGAATACTAGTAACGCAAAAAGAGGGTGTCAGACAAGGTTCCGTAATTTCTCGAAAACAATTTTGTTAAGAAAGATAGTATTGTATGTAGAAATTTACATCGGACCTACACGTTCTTAATTTCACCATCCTGACATCGACTGACAATTTCAGAAAATTCTGAGATTGAGACCTATTTATTAAATACGAACTATGGATGTTGTTTAAACCTTGTTTACTGAATCCGTTCCTTCCATTACAGGAGAGAAGGCCTACAAATTCGAGGAGTTCCTCCCCATCCACGAAACAATCATCAACACCCTGGAACAGGGCACCTTCGCCGACTACATGGAGGCCTTCAAGACTTTCGACAGAGAGGGACAGGGTTTCATCTCTGGGGCTGAGCTCAGACATCTTCTCTCTTCACTCGGTACGTGGGCGGATCTAAAAATCGCGCGCTTGTGCGCGTCAACATTACTGGTCTTCGTAACCTACTTATACTTTGGGAGAAAACTTATTTAATATAAAAAAGAAGGTTCAGTTTAATAAACTTTAAATTTACTTTTAAAAATTGTAAGTGATCTTTATTATTCCATTTCGTTTCTTTCTTCTTTAATTTCTTATTTTTTATGGTAATCTGTTATTGCTATAAATCACATGATCTTTTCTTGTTCAGGTGAGCGTTTGAGTGACGACCAGGTCGATGAAATCATTAGAAACACAGATTTACAAGAAGACCTTGACGGAAACATCAAATACGAGGGTAAGTTTTTAGTCAGAAAAATTCATAGGTTCGGAATTACTATAAAAAGTATTAAAACCCATTAGTACCGAGGAAAAATACATATTTATGACCAAATCATACGTTGAAATTTCATATCAATCAATGTGAAAATTGCCCAGAATTAGCTTGACATGATTTTTTTTTAATTTAAGTTTTTTTTTAACCTGGTCCTCTCTCTGGCAAAAATGGTTAGATTACTAAAAAAAAAAATAAATAAAATAAAATAAAATTTCTTAATTCGTCTCACTTTCTGAGTTTTTAGATTCAGCCCTGACTTCTTTAGAAATGTTTTCAAAAGAATTTTTCACTTTACTTTTTTCAGAATTCATCAAGAAAGTGATGGCTGGACCATACCCCGACTAAAAAGGAGACTGAATAAAAAAAAAAACTCTAACACAAGAACACATCACATACACACAAAAAATCCCCGTCTACAAAACATTTACAACAGTGACGTCATCAGCTGGAGAAGTTTTACGCATGCTGCTGCGATCAAGTGAAACATCAACTAAAAAACGGACATGCGCACTGGAATTGATTTACCACCCGGAAAGCTACAAAACATCATAAAAAAGAACCAGATTTCTTGCGCAAGACCTCTCCAGCTATTACATAAACTTTGCCGTCTGTTTTCTACACATCAGTCTTCTTTTTAAAACCGGTACCGGTTGGTTACATCATCGGTAAAGACATCATTGGGTCATGTGACCCGAAATGTACAGTTATGCTCGAAAGTTGGTATAAATGAGATGAGGTCGGAATGGATATCCCTTTTGCATCCTCTGTTTATGAGTGAATAGTGTATTATTTATTATTTTTCCCAAATAAAAAATCTGTTTTCTTTTAAACGGTTTTTATTTTTGTTTTCACAACATACGTATACACTAGAAGGGGTATTGCGATGTACACGAAACAGATTCTATGAGGATACTATTTTGGTCGAAAGATATCCCGTATCAAGGTTAATTTAATGCTCAAATTATATATATTATGTATCTACCAGACCTAGGAAGTCAAGAGGGGAATATATATTATATGTATACATCACGTTTGACAGCATACAGATTTAAAAATTTTCTAATAGGGGAGATAACACTTATTGAAAAATGACTTTTATTATTCCTTTGTAAGAATTTCAATTTTTGCCCCGCAAAATATTTACCCGGTATAATCTTGCATTTTAATTACAAATAAGATTTGATTTTTTTAAAAAAAAAAGTCATATCAAGCATCAAAGTAACAAATAGATTGAGATGGACCTTAACATAGGAAATAGAGAAATTTACAGTTTAACACTGCATAGATGAATTAGGCAACACTCATTTTACCGAGAGAAGTGTGCAAGTTTTTCCTCAAGAAGCATTTTAAAGGGACATGGACACAGTTTCAACTGAATTTTTTAAACCAATTTTAATGTTTACAATTTCTAACTAAGGCATCATCTAATGATCAGTAAAAATTTGAACGTGACTTGTGGATTAACAAACGAGATACAGTTCAACTTAAAGTTCTTCATATAGTAAACAAGGCTCGTGCCTTGTTTTTGTTTACAGATATAGAAAATATCATATTTATAACAACAAGAAATTCAGCAAATCACTAGAAACCATTAAGAATTAACTGCTTTATTGAACTTGTCTGCTTTGAACGAACATATATTAGTATATTAACCTTTGTAAACAAAAACATGACACAGACTCTGTTTACATAATAAAGGTTTGGAACTCTAAATCTGTCTTGTATCTCGACAAATGAAGTTCAAGTTTTTGATGATCATTAGAAAGTCTTTAGTTAAATATTGTAAAAATGGAAATGTCAGTTTGAACATTTTAGGTGAAACTGTGTCCATGCCTCTTTAATGCTAATATTTTAATTCACTCTAATGACTCTTCCAATGATTATGCATGGTTCTGTATGTTCAGAGTCGAACTTTTGATTCAATGCGTGCATTCGAACTGCATGACACACAAAAAAAGAATAAAATGATTTATTTTCTAATGTAATATATCATTGGTGAATTCTGGTCAATCTAAGAATAAGACGAAAGGTAAAAGAAGAAGAGATCTTAAGGTACTCTGTTCCCCAGCAGGCGCGTAGCTGCCTATACGCAAGTACGCAAGTGCGTACACATCATTTTCCAAAAAAAAGAAAGAAAGAAAGAAAGAGGGATAAAAGAAAAGAAGGAAAAAAGAAAGAGAGAATTTTATTCGGGAAAAAAGAGGCACTACCCATGTTTCAAATTATTTTGCGTCTTATTGTTTGGATTCAATTTTTTTTCAGCATGTCTGCACATTCAAATTTAGTCCTTTATAAAATCAATTCCAAAAACATCTTTCAACATTCTTGAGGAAAAAAAATTGTTAAACCAAAATGTTAATCCGCGTAATCACGATTATCCGGACAAATATTTGATAAGGAAAGCGATCTAAGGGACTTTGATTGAAAGAAAAAGTTGCAAAGGTTTTAGACGACTATCCAAGATTTTTAATTTCCGTAGAGGTAATGAATAAATGTCGTTAAACAACTTAAATTATGGTGAACAAAATAAATAATAATATAGCTTCTTTTACTGATATTGTATACCAATTTAAAGAATTATATTATAATTGAAGCATTCTCGAATCATTTCAGCCATCAAATATGAAGGTAATCAAAAGACAACAACACCCCCGTTTATATTTTGAAATATTTAAACTCCAATGATAACGATATTGAAATTGCTACTCTGTTTTATCTTGATACACTTGGAAACTTTTTTCCAATACCACAATATGCGTAAATTAATTTGATAAATTATCCTTCTCTTCCCGAAGTATCAATGGAAGCAGTATATCTTATAGCTAAGTGTTTGCTCGAGAAAAGTGATATTATTGTGATTTCTTTTGCGAGAAAATGACTGAAAAATTTCGTAAAATCCAGGAGCGGCCCCCAGACCCCCGGCCGTTTTCTGCGTACACTTCGTTTCCATGCTGGCTACGCGCCTGCCCAGGTTCCGAAAGTCAGACGTTGACTAATTGACAATACGCACAAAAATGTCCCGGAATTCTCAAAGTAATGTGTTTACAGTAATAATTCTTCAAACTTCAACTTTAAAGTTAATCTATTATATATAATATGCATTTTCCAATTCAGATTTGATCAACGAACACATTTAAGAAATACAAATCATAGGTTTCCAGGCTTTTGAAGAAATCGCACAATATTTTTTTACATATAAGGTACTCTGGTTTCTTCTATTTACTTCAATCATTTTACAATGCATAGCGTATAAAGCTTTTCCCGTCATTGCAAAATACCATATATCACTTCTTATTGAAATTATTTTAATTAACATTGGAATCTATGGTAAGATTAAAAGAATCTCAATTTTTTTTTCAATATGTAATTTTAAAATACTTTTATAGTGTAAAAATTTCGACTTTTTACAAGAACTTTCTGAGAACTTCAAAGAACCTTGCGTGAGGTACATTGAGAGGTATAAAATGAAAATTGTTGCATGAAAAGATTTCATTTTTAAGATTTCTTTTTTAAAAGACTTTTTAGATTAAATTATAAATTAAAGAGTTATCCTTCCTGACCAGGGATCGGAGTACCTTAACTTGAATAATTTTACCGAAAAGAAGAGGCTGGCAAACCTGTAATAATTGTCTAATATGGAAACCAGTAGTTCCAGAGAAATACTTGGTCGGATTATATAGACAGCATTTTAAAACAAGAGGCCCACGGGCCTTATAGGTCACCTGAGCATTATGCAACAATTTTCCAGTTATTGAATTTGATTCATGTTTTAAGCCAGATGCTATATGACTTTCACAATTTTGAAAGAGGCACCATTGATCATCATAACAATACACTTAGCAGTTGCTTAGCTTGGTTACTGAATACCCATATGCAGGGTAGGGGAACAAAAATGCATTCCAACTAACCAGTAGTGCCCCTAACACTGTGACATAAACCCCTGACCCTAGGTCCACACATTGCACAAATTTCAAAAAGGCACCCTAAATATCAAAAAATTATAAATGTTTTATAAATACGAAAGAGGAGATTTCAAACAATAAATTCATTTTCAGTATATAAGTAATGCCCCCACCCCACTCCTGACCCTGGGACTTTGAAATTCACAATTCTGCAAGATTAGGGCCCTTGCTCATCATAACTATAAAGGTAGTTCATCTGCTTTATACCCAGAGACAAAGAAAAAAATTTCAAAGATTTCATGTATTTTCATTAATATAATCAATTGAGCCCCGTCCCCCTAACACCAGAACCCCTGACCCTGGGGCCATAAAATTAATAATTTTAAAAGAGGCACTCTTGCTCATCATAACTATGTACTTAGTTGGTTTATTTAATACCCAGGAGTAGAGAAGAAGATTTCCAAAGAAATAATGCATTTTCACTATATACTTATTTAGCCCCGCCCTAGCACTAGAACTCCTGACCCCAGGGCCATGAATTTCACAATTTTGGTAGAGGACTCAATGCTGATTACAATCATGCAAACAGTTTGACTGCTTGATGTCCAGGAGTAAAGTAGAAGATTTTTAAAGATTGCATTAATTTTAGTGGTTTTGGCCCCACCCCTCAGGCCCCAGGGGGGCAGGGATCATGAAATTCACAATTTTTGTTCCCCTTTACCCATAGATGCTTTGTGCCAAATTTGGTTGAAATTGGTTCAGTGGTTGCAGAGAAGAAGCTGAAAATGTTCAAATGTTAACACACGACGGACGACGAACGACGGACGACGACGGACGAAAACGGATAGCAATAGGTCATCTGAGTTTACTCAGGTGACCTAACAAAGAAATTTAATTACAGAAAGGGATTTCAAATTTAGATCGCAGATAGACAAGTTTTCGGAATACACAACATCCGAAGAGAGGGTAGTAGGTAGGGGCTTACTCTGAATTAGCTAAAATACTAATAATTCTAGGTATTGCAAGGTACGCACCATCTTAAATGAAACCGTGCCTTAATTTTCACTTGCACCGAACCTTATTGCTTATGAATAGATTTAGTAAATTTTGATGCTTACATTTTTTTTTTTTAATTTATAATCAAATTATATGTACATGTTTTGTTCAAGGAAGCTTGCGTTTCCCATCAGGCGCATCAAGAAAGATAACTCTAATTTTTGCGAGGACTTGAGCTCATCTCTACCAATCCAAACGAAACACGATTAATTATAAAAATTGTCCATCTTTTTTAATTAGTAAATGAGCATCGAATTTTTACTAAAAAAAATGAATTACGGCTTGAAGTAGAATTTTAACTTGTTCTTTATAATTTATTTACTCTTCAATTTAAAAAAAAAAAAATGAATTTCCGTAAAATTCTCATGTTTAATGAAGACAATAATGTAGCAACATAAATTTTGGTCTCAGTAGTTACCCTGGTACATGTAGTAACTTCAGCTGATTTGATTATGATTGAATGGAGAGGTCACCTTTATACTTTCATATGGTAGATAAGCTACCTTGAAGTCTCTGGGTATAACTTCTTTAAAAATTGTTGTTTTAACATATTTTATTTTTATTATATGTTTGCAGATTTAAGCCCCTGTAATCGATAAAGGGGTATAATTATCAATTTTGCCCCGTCCGTCCGTTTGTCTAGTTGTCTGTCTGTTTGTCCGCAAAAACTTTTAACTTCGCCCACAACTTTTTCTTTGTCGTTATGCTAATTTTCTGTAGTTATAAAAACGAAAGTGTACAAAATCTTTTTCATACAGTGACTGTATTAAATCTTTTATTTTTCAACCGCACAGTAACATGTAATGCCTGAAAATTATATTTTTAACACCGTTAATGTAAAAATATTTTGAAAAATGCAGTCAACACATGCATCTTAAATAGTATTTGTACATCGTACATCTCGGTCCCTGGTTTTCAGTATCAAGTCAGAATTAAATAAAAAAAAAATATTCATTTATTTAAGGGTAATTAACACAAACAAACTTTATATGCATTAATTGATGTATATTTTTTGACAAATTTTGATTTTAAATGAATCACTAAAATAAAGAGAAATCTTAGGTTTTCTTTAGTGCTTAGAGATACGAGATTTTGTTTCCCTATCTATATAATCAAAGGAGGTAAGCAAACTCCTGTGATATAATCCTATACATAATTTTGAACAACTTTTTTTTTATCTTACAACAAAATCTCATAAAATTACCACTTTTATATCTGGTAAACATCATTCACATTAAACAATTTAAACATAAATCTATGATAAATATTGTTGCTTTCTAAAGAAAAAAAATGTTTGTGTAACTGAGTAATTCATCCTTAAATTAATTTTCTTTAAGTACAAGAACATCTGTTAAAAATTGTGTAGTAGCGTACACTGCCTAGTGATCAGGATTTAATTAGCTGCCTGCTCTAAACGTCAATAAGAGTTTGTGACTGCTTTAAACTTGAATGAAAATAGATGTTTAGCAGAGAAGTTCATAAAGCTAAAGGCTAGCTGTACTTAAGGCAAAATTAAGTTAATTAAGAAAATGCATTGCTGAAATATATAAATGACAAAAATACCATTTATACCAATGTGCGTAATTATACAGGAAACATGTATACTGTACTTAAAACATTGACTAGGTTTAGATTGCAACAGATGTACACATATCACAACACTAATAATTGGAAATGATACAAAAAGAATTAAAACATACATAAATAAAAGCTTCATAAAGCAGATCATACAAATATAAGACCAATTTGACATAGCAATGTCCTGGAATCTAACCAGTATCACAAGCTACATGTAGTATGTTTTTATCTTTTTAAGACTCAATGTCTACATAGTATATAACAAGTATGAAATGAAATGGGGAGAAAGCTATACCTTTAATTTGAGCACACATGTATAAACTGTCGAAGCATTGCTGAATATCAAAATATATATATATGCACAGATCTAAATTATTCCTCCAGAATATCCTAAAAATTTTTTTTTTAAAATTCAAAAGAAATGTATATATAAATCACATCTTTTTTTCAGATCCAGGCACAATGCAGAACATGATATGACAAAATATTGCACCAAAACACTTTGCATTAAGTAGTGAGTATATGACTACAAAATATAACTTAGTCAAGCAATAATCCAAAAGTAAATTTGTCAAGACCTATTGCTGGAAAACTTAGAAACTTTTCCATTGCTAAAATTAACAATCATGACAGAAATATTGTCCAGGGAACCCCTGTAGTAAGCCTGTAAAACGAGGCTTTTAGCACCAAAGAGAGGCTCGTCAAGACGATCCTTAAGGAAGTCTACCGCTTCCTGATTGGAGAACACGTCCCACAAACCGTCCGAGGCCAGAATCATAAAATATGGCTGTAGAAACCGGAGGTTAAAGGTCAGAATATCCGGGACAGCGGTCAACATTTTTGTGTCTTTAAGGGGGAAGTCCCCCAGGGCTCTAGACGTGGCCAGGACACCAGCCACTCTCCAGACGCCATTAAAACTGATAAAGCCCCCCACCTCCTTAATCCTCTGTCTCTCCTTTACCTGAAAAAAAAAATTAAATTGTCAATCTTTAATGTTTCTAAAGGATAGTTCCAGAGCAGAAATGTTTTAAAGCATGAAAGTCTAGAATGTAAAACCCTAGTATATGTAATTACATTGTATGGTTTATGGTCATAAGACAAAGGTATGGCTGTTCCGTTTTTATCACAGAGTACGCCCCTGGAATCACCAACATTGGCCACAGTTAGGATATCCCCTCGCAGAAATGCAAACAAAGCTGTTGTACCTAAAATAAAAATATAAAAGTTCAAAAAGTGCAGTCATGTTTGCATAAAATGAATGATAAAAAAGCTTATTATTTTTCATCTCATGACCTTGCCTGACATGTCAGAATTATTGATCACATGACCTTACCTGACAATCACATGACCTTACCTGATCACATAACCTTACCTGATATGTCAGAATTATTCCTAGCTATCTGCATCAGTTGTGTATCTACTCGTAACACCTCCTCTATTATCATCTCCGTAAAATTCCCCGTCTGGTCGTCTAATGAGGAACTCATAATCCGAACCATTAGGTATTTAAAGAGAGTTTTCTCTGTAAACTCGGCGGCAAACTGGAAATCAAACAAAGGAAAACAAATTAATCATATACTAAATTTTAACTTTGAAAGATGTAAAAACATGAAACTACTGTTAAGACCATGGAAGCCAATACCTTTATCTTTATAGAACTAGAAGGAAGGGAGAAAATATGACAGATCAGGATTTGAACCCATGTCCCTTGAATATGCAGACAGGTGCTCACAAACTGAGCTATCTGGCCACTGGTGAGCAAATCTCAATCTACCCGACCCTTACATTCTGTAGGCAGGGTTGTTCGGAACACCTGCAGGCCAAGGAACTTCCCTGCCTATAATGATATGATATCACCAGACCTAGATATTCTGGTATTCTCACTCAACCTCGTTTTGAGAGGAACCCCAGTTCACCACTTCTTTTTTTATTTCAATGTTATTTCATTTCTTAAGGACTACCCTATCAAGGTGATTCAAAAAGTGTTAAAAATTTTGTCCACATCTAAAAAGGTTGGATTTATCTCGAATAAAGTGACTGTACCTCCCCTCCATGTCCATCAAAGATACCAAAAATAGACGTTCCCGTTTCCTCCAGGTCTATGACGATGTTAAACCTGTCCTCCATGTGGGGGCGTCTCCCCTGTATAGCGTAGGCCGCCGCCCCCTCTTTCTGTAGTTCCCAGGACGTCCCAGTAGATTGCACTGGCACAAAAACATTGTAGGGTCTGTTTGTCTGGTAAGAATTAAAAAGCCCGTTAATGCAAACATAAGAAAAAATTCAGAGCATGATGTATGTGTGTGATGATCATACAAAAACAATTCTCCTTTTTTTTTAATTGCAAGAGATTTTTAACTAGTGGTTAAATGTCTTTTCTCTTTTTTACTACAAAAAATGAAGCAATCGTTGCTAATGAGTACCTAAAAAAATTTTCACTGTGATTTACCACCGATTTACCTGCAAATAATGAAATGAAATGTTTTGTAGTAAAATATAGAGAATTTCACAGTGCCATGAATATTCATAAAACAGTGCCAATGACCTAATGACAGGTAAGCAGTTAGAACAAAAGCCAAAGGTAAAATCCACAAATATATATCATACACACTTATCCTCTTAGATCTACAGAAGACATTTCACTGACCTTGTTTTTTACAGCTTCGTTTCTGCTATCTCTGGAGCCAGAGGAGGGAAATATGAACCTCCACAGGGGAGACGAATGGTAGACGGAGTGATACAGGAAAATCACCAGACACAGGAACAGCAAGGCCTCGATACTAAACAGGTACTTCCTCAGAAATCTACTGAGGAGGGACACCACCGTCATTCTGTCGTCCCGAGGGACGTGTTCAGCCGAGCATCGTTTGATTGTCCCATTCGCAGGAAAGGATGTTGTTGTCAAATATTAGAGATGGCGGTAAAACTAGGGGTATAATTGCTCCGAGTTCACAATGATCTGTGCATCGTTGATTACTGTTACAAAAGATCAGAGCCTGAGGCAATGTAGATTTTGTAAATTTGATTTGTTACATTGAATTAAACTATTTATGTATGGAAGGGAATTACCGCCAAAAGTCTATGTATCTTGCTTTTATTCTTATTCTGCTTACTTCTTTATGCTTTGTTATTATTGTAATTATATGTCACTTTATTGTTTCCATATTCGTCTTCATTCACTTTGACTTTTATCATAATTCATTTTGTCCTTACTTCTATGTTGCTTTATTCTTGTAAATTCATTTTACTTTCTTTTAAATTGATACAGTTTCTTAAATGATTATAACTATTTCGAACGCTAACTCAATCACGCAAACAATGAAGCATATTCAATGAAGACGAATACAAGTTGTCCGAATTTAGTGCCGCATTATAACGCTAGGTGGCAGGGGTGTTCGCTAAGAGTGTTGGTAAAATAAGGTAAGCAAACCCGTGCCGGGGTTATTCGAATTTTTTCAATTTTCTGCCTTTATACTTTATTAATCAAACTTAATTTTTTAAAAGACTGATGTTTGTTATAAGTCCAGGTATGTACCCGATACATGCCAGTTCCCCAGAAGTCTCGCTAGATGGTAAAATTTCTCCTGGAAGACTGACTACATACTGATGCTTCCTTCGGAAGACTATACAGTGGGACTCCCCCGGGGAAGTTTCAATATATAGCTAGTCTTCCGTGGGAGATATCGCTATATATAGCAATTCGCCCCCATTCCTAGCAACCCCTCCCCCGAATAGTTTTTTTAAAATTGTAAAACAATGTTTATATATACTAACGTTTTCAGTTTTTGAAGGAAATTTATCTGTTCTATCATCCGCGTGGCACTGTAGTAACGGCGTCTGCTTTATATAGAGTCACGAAGTACAGTAGTTTGGAGTCGACCAATATGTCGTGGGTTCGAATCCCACTAAAGGATGTGGAGTTCGGTCCTTCGGATGAGATTTAGACCGTATTATCCGAGTTCCCGTGTCGCAGTAGGTGCTGGCACGAAAAAAGATCCCTCACTGCTCAATGGCTATAAGTGCCGAGTATATAGGACAAATTTGCAGCTCTCCACCGGCAAAAGGTGGCTTCTCCATTTGAGTGAAAAATTCTCGAAAAGGAAATTATACAATGTACAATCACACCACCAAATTCTCAATATATATACTGACTTCCGGGTGGACGACCTCCTATGGGGTAAGTTTCATCGGTAGAGGGGAGGGTGGCCAAGAAGCATTTTCCTAAACGTAACTTTTTACTACTGGAAAAGTTTAGCGAAAGGCTTGTTGCCCCCCCCCCCCATCCCTTATCCCTTACACTTTTTGTTGCAGTACTAATAGTCAATTTATATATTAAAAGTCATGTACTTATTGGCATATGAGTAAGATTTATTACTGAAAAAAGTTGACGACCCCCCCCCCCCCTCATTCACCACCACCAAATCGAGTTTTAAGATTTTTTTAGCTCTCCTGGTTGATAACAAACACGGTGCGCACTAAAGATATTTCTTTCTTTATTGAAAAGTGCTATTTTAATATAAAATATTAACGCAGAAAAAAAGACTGGGGTGTTTCTAGTATGCCTGGATGCATGTAGTCTAATTCCGACTTCGCCTTCCGTGCGCGGATCAAGAGGGGGGAGTGAGACCCCCTGGAATTAACAAGATTACTAAAACAAGGAAAAAAGTTACCCACCTCCACGAAATAGAATTTTGACGTTTGAGCGAGTTTAGGTTTTTTTCTTCTTTTTATGCATGCTTGTCAAGAAATTTCTGGGAATGGATTTTTTTACTTGGTTGCCCCCCCCCCCCCCCCCCCTGGAAAAAATTCTGGATCCGCGCTTGCCTACCCATAACTCTCCACACTCCTTTGCAAAGTCTTGTCCCTAGAATCACGCGCATTAGCATATACGTACAGTTATTATCTGTCGTGAAATAAAGTTCAGTTCAGTGGAAGGTTCTGAAAAACAACCCAATTTATAAAGGTTAACTAGTATCAAAATATTTAACATTTTTATAACAATTACACTGTAATTCAAATATACAACAAATAACTATAGTAGAGATATATTTTTTCAGGCGAGAAAACAGTGACGTAGCATCGTTTTTAAACGTTGGGAGGGGGCAACAAGAGAATAAATATTCAAGCTACCCAGCTGAAAACAACTCGACAAGCGCAAAATAAAACCCAGGAAATTGTCCAAACTTGAAAATACATAGGCGTCGGAACCGGGAAGGGGGGCTTAGCCCCCACTTCTTTCCAAAGATAGACTTAGTATAGACATTGAACATTCCTGCGTAGGTTTAGCGCCCCCCCCCCCCAACTTTCCATGGATACGATGCAGTAAAGGTTTAAAATGGGGAAAGTGGTGGTATTTGGAAAAAAAAACTTTGGCACTGGAGTTCGAACCTTCAACCAACCCCCACCCCACCCCTCCTCACGAAAGGATTTTTGTGTTTGGAAAATGGACATTTTTTTTTTTTTGCTTGTCAGTTTTTTTTTTTTGTTTTTTTTTTTTTGAAGGTCCAAAAAAAAAAATTCTTACACTTACCCCCCCCCCACCCAACTTTCAATTAACTTGCGACGCAATCCTATTTCGGGGGGGGGGGGGGGGGGGGGGTTGAGTTAGATTCAAATTCTTATATAGAATCAAATTTAAATTTTCTTCCTACTATACGTACTACATTTACTTATTTGACCCTTACTCTTACAAAAAGTGGGTCGACCTTTAAATGAACATATTCAGTATAGTATAAAGTTATGTCTGAAAAAAAGAAGCCGCTATTCCTGTATGCCCAGAGAAAATAAATATGGAGTTTCCATCATTGGATCGGGAGATCGGATCCGGCCTTCTGAAGTTCGATTGATAAAGTATTATGGCGTTTTGAAGAATCTCAAATAACCCGACCCGGGTTTGCTTACCTAGTTTTACCAACACTCGTAGCGAACAACACGCCACCTAGTGTTATAATGCCGCACTAAATTTTGACGGTTTGACAACTTCCATTCGTCTTCATTGAATATGCTTCATTGTTAGTGTGATTGAATTAACATTCGTAGTAGAGGTAATGCTAATAATTTATTTAAGAAACTGTTTAAGTTTAAAAGAAAGTAGAATGAATTAACAAGAATAAAGCAACATAGAAGTAAAGACAAAATGAAGAATGATAAAAATCAAAGTGAAATGTAATAAAGACGAATATGGAAACAATAAAGTGACATATAATTACAATAATAACAAAGCATAAAGAAGTAAGCAGAATAAGAATAAAAGCAAGATACATAGACTTTTGGCGGTAATTCCCTTCCATATTTATGGGGTATGTAATTTGAAATTATTAATAAGTTAATTATTGTTCGGAATATACACTAAAGGACCTGGAATATAGAATTTACCCAATGCTTAGTATGGGTTAGATTAGGCCCTTGCTAGTTCGGCCCTTGTTTAAAAAAAATCTCGATGTTTTAATTTTGAATAAACTCAAACTAAGTAAATAAATAAATAAAAAAGTAAATAAATAAATGAAAATAAACAAATTCAAACAAGTTGCGAGCAAAAAAATGACCCCAAAAAATTAACAACAACAACCCCCCCCAAAAAAAATATGCATTTAATTAATTTGAGACTGTTGAATGCATGGGCGCTGAGGCTATTGTATTTTGTGTATTAATTGTGTGTTTCCCATGTCTGATCAAACAAACTTATATAAATAACCAGAAGTCTCTGACGAAACTGTACCTAGCTTTACTGGTTTATCATACTCATAACGACGGGAGATAAAAATAGTATTGGAACTTGAACCTTTGCAACAACAATAAATTAAGAAATTAGCATTAGTTAGTAACATTTAAAAAAAAACTGTATAGAAGAAGCAGTTTTTGAAAATATTTAAAAAGACATTTCTCTATTTTAAAGGTACTTGGACACAGATTTGAAGTTAATATTTTCTGTATATTTCTGTATAATATCACGGATTATATATTTTAATAGCATTTCACACAAAAATTAATTAAAAATCTTATTTCATCTAAAATTTATTAAAACTTTAAATTTTTTGGCGGGTTATATATAAGTCATAATATTATAGAGAAAATATTAATTTCAAATCTGTGTCCAAGTACCTTTAAGTAACCATGCCAAGAAAATTTATCGAAAAACCGATGAGCAGAATTATGTATCTTAGTGTAGTCTATTTGTGTGCCAAGTAATAATGAAATCAGACCAAAACTGTAGGGGGAGTAGCATTTACAGACAGACGAGCGGTCACTTTACTATAGCATAATCTCTTCTGGTCTTCGACCAGTGGAGCTAAAAATAAACAAGATGTGTATGTGAAACACTTCTGACAAAGAATACACCTGTGAATTATAAAGGCTCTAGTACTGATTAACTGTTCAAAAGTTATGTCCGAAGTGAATTTTTTTTTAATTTGGATAAAACTCAAAGGTCAAGGTCAAAAATTCAAAAACACCTTTCCCTGGAGAGGCCTAGTCACAATGAATTCATGTATGAAATACGAAAGTCCGAGCACCAGCTGTTCAAACGTTTTTGCCAAGGTTAAAGTTTGGTAAATTCTTACAAATGTAGGTCAAGCTCAAGAGGTCATATATACTTTGGTACTTTAATTGGTACTCAAAGATCGACAAATATGAAATATGCAAATCATACAGGTACATTTACCTTCCACCAATCAAAAGTCATGGGCAATGTCAAAGTTTTTTCGGACAAACAGACAGACGGACGGACAGGACAGAAACTATAAACCCCCGAATCTTTATAGTTCTTCGATTCGGCCAAAAAAAAAAAAAATAATCGAAATTAGCATTATTAAAATGATATCACATTTTACATTTATATAAAAGACACAAGGTGTATGAACCATCCACATACTTTTATTGTGAGAAAAAAAAATACCACACTCATACTGATCTCCGGATAACTAA